CTTGAAAATGTTACCAATTAAAGGTATGACTGCAAAGATGCACTCTGTCAACTTTATAATAACTAATCACTTAATTAAAAAAAGGAACAAGCTCCTACAAACCAGCAACACTTTTTTTCCTCAAAATTGCAGCCCATGCTCAGAGAATCTAATTTTGCCTCTTGCCGTAGGCTCTATCTTCCTCATTACAAATAACAGCACCAAGTTAATTAGCACCAGGAGAAACACTCACCTAAACATACTGCTGAAACTCCACAATTGTTGTATCATCCTTACAAATTCTGTTTAAAGCCAGCCCCAGAGAGACCCTCAAAGTCAAGGCTTGTAGTCATTCCCTGGCATGTTGGAGTGGGTCTTCAGTGAGGAAGCATCACCCACTGGCCATCACCATTTCATCTAGTCTCTGGCTGGCTCTGAGTCTTCAGGAGTGCCTGGATGGCAGCAGACATTGGGCAGAGAGGCTGAACTGGAATTTCAGTTGCGTGACTGTGGGCGCCAAAAGCAAGATAACTTTCAACACTTTGGAATAAATTATTTGCAGTCCATAGAACTGGCTGCAGAAGTAAGTTGTACGGTTAAATAAATTGACTGTAAAAAAGCTGTATGTTTGTCTATATTGATTTTTTTTTCCTTACACTGGGACCAGTACAAGTTCCTTTGAATTCAGGAGTAGTTGCACTGGATGAAAAATGGAAGAAAACAAGATACTGTTATTTTCAAGGAAACACTGGGAATGCAGGCTTTGCTGGCTTTTTTTGTGTCTAACTTTGTCCAATGTGGTGCAAAGAGCCAGAATACAATAAAGTAAAGCACTTCCAAATTGATCTTTTGACTTTTTAGAGCCATATGTACATAGTTATCTATGTATATAAATGGTGAGAAGGCTGAAAAAATAGCTTTTCTCATGCTTCAGTCTTCATAAACCAAATCATACATTGTTTCAGCTATATTTTTAAAGAGGCACAGAGTTTCACTGCAGTGTTTTCACTTAAACATAAGAAGCCACATTAGAGAAGACTCACTTGCCACCCTGACAACTCAGAGAAATTTCATTCACTTCTAGAGGACTCTCACTACAAGCCTCAACTTGCTCCCATTGAATCCTAGAGTAGACTCCTATCAGCTTCAGTGGCAGATCACTGAGGTGTGTAGCATGAACCGCACAAACCTGTGTGAAGCAGACACCTGTTGTCTGACTGCTTTAGGAGCTGCTGTGGGGTTTTTATTTGGTCCAGAGCTTTGGGAGTTGCTAGTTTAGAGAATTTTGAAATTAAGTGTAACAAGGAGCTTTGAGCATGAGGTGTCACAAAACTAAAAATCGAAAAGTTCTCTAAGGAAAAGATGGTACCAGAAAAAGAATATACATCTATACAGTGTGCACACCTGTATACACATATACTCCTGTTTCATGCAGAAAGCTTTCTAAATAAAAACATACAAAAAAATAACCAGTGCCATACATTATGTAAACTCACAAGGCGTACTTTCAACAGAAATTTGAGGCATAAATTAAAAGAATGGGAGAAAGAGAGACAGAGAAGATAGCAAAACATTTTAAATATAGAATTTGCACAATTGTTTTTGCTTTCTTTTTGTTAAATAAGAATAAATAAATTCATTACATCCATTCACATACCAGTTGAAAAAACAATAAATTATTTTATTTTTTTCAGTGCTGTGTTGCCTTTTTTTTTTTTTTTTTTTTTACAATTGTGATCAATCCACAAGATTATTCCCTCTGCCCCTTGTGATAAAACTGTTTCCACAGGAGGGCAGCTAAATGTAATTTCTTCTATACCGTCAAACCAAAGATCATAGGCTTCTTCCTAATGAGAATGTTATATTTGAGAAGCAGATGTTCTAAAAACCACTGATGCTTAGGGGTCCAACTCCACCTAAGGGCACTGGAGATGTGTCCCAAAAAAAGTCAGCAGTGAATTTGGTATGGAGGATTGTTTCTTTCTATGCAAAGAGCAATACCCTGGGTTTCTAATTCCTACATGCATTTTATGAATCCTGCTTGGCAGCACTCGGCAGTAATGTAAACAATGACATAACAGTGTGAGTGACAAGGAGTTTAGTTGAGAACACAAGTTAAAATGGCAGTCACATATCTTGCACCAATTTTTCATTCATCAGTTACATGAGATAGGCATGACTGACAAAAGCAAGGTTTTGAACTGGAGTCTGATTACAAAAACCAGCTCAAAGCCAAGTGCTAACTACAGCGGGCTGACTGAGTTTATCTTACACTTTCAGAGTTGCTTCCCTGGTCTGTCCCCTTTGCCCTCTCACCATATGAAGGGAACTGCTTTTTGCTCACACTCATTTGCTTCACTATATGGTGATAAGGGAAAAATCAATATAGTGGTTAACTTGCATATTTATTTATTTTTTACAAATAAACTCTTTCTATGAAAAAACATACTCTTGATTCAAGGAAGCTTTAAATTTATACCCGTGTATGGTATTTCTCTTCTGATGCCTGTATAGCATCCAAAAGCTTTACTTACTCTGTTGAATATATAATAAATTACTACTAGGAAGCAAACACAAATACTTGAAAATCCTGTCTCTATTATGATAAAACACAGGAAAAAAAAAAGCCACTTAATACAGCAGCTGTATGCAGAGACAAATGTTAACTCTACACTGAGACTGTCTCCTTATTCATCCTCTCATGATGGTTTCTATTTGTTATGAACTTTTTTGAGAGATTCTAGAACATGTGTAATACATATGTAAGTAAACAATTAGATTACTTGAAAGTAAAATATTTCAAAGTGATTTTATATTAATAGGTAGAGAAGGCATAAATCTTTACTCGGCAACTATTCAGAGCTTTGATCTCAGGTCTTAGGGTGGGATCACAGACTAAGTAGGGAATTTCCTCAAAATCCACAATTTTGCATAGGACTATTAAGAAGAAGGCCACCTCTTTTTTGAAAACTGAAGACAACTAGTAACATTAGTTGGTAATTCATTTTGACAGAGAAGGAGGCCCTGCCCCTCTGACTGTTTATTTAGAAGAGGGTGCAAAAATAGATATTTCTCCGGGTTTCACATTTGTAGATGTAGCAATCTTATGCTGTTTTGAAATCATCACATGATTTCTTAGAGTTCATACAAACATGCCACAGTTGCAAAAACATGTTTGTGTCAGCCTGAAGTGAGACCTGCCCTTGCTACAAATGCCAACAAGTTTTCTCCACTGATTTTGTTATTGGGATTTCCAGAAAAGCCTGGGGTATTTCAGTGCTTGAAATATTAGTATTTCAGTGCTACTGGCTTACAGCTGGGAGACTTGTCTGAAAATCCTCCTGCAGTCTCATACTCTCCAGTGTGGATGAACGAAGGAATAAAAGACAGATGGGATTCTGTTTTCATCAGCCTATAATAACAATTTCTTTTGGTACCTGTTATTCTAGGGCTCAATTCAAAGCCTGCTGATATAAAAGGAAGCAATTTTAACAGGGTTGCTATCAGGCCTCCACCTGCTACTTGCATAAGGTGAAATGCCCATCCTTGGTCACAGAACTTTTACCAGGCAATAACGGGATTCAGAAGTTGCTGCCAATAAAAATTTTTACCAGCTACTGCCTGTACTGTGGAAACAGTCTTATTGATATTGGGCAAGTCCTCCACATCCTGATGTGGTTTGACTTCCTAGTGACCCCTCTTCCTCTCAAATGTAGTAGCTATACAACACATGAATGCCTTCTATAGCTTTAAAAAAAACCAAAACATACACAAAACAATCAGAGAAGACAAATAGTTACAAACTTTTGCTGGTAAGATGAATACCAGAGTTAGACACGATGGACAAAACAGTGACAAAATATTAACTGCTTGCTGTGTTTTTTTGACCTTTATAGCCTCTTCAGAAGATGTAGGTACATTACACATTGTTAGGTTCCAGGTGGAAGCCATAGAGAAAATAACAGAGAAAGCAGTTGAACACAGTCTCAGAATATCTGAGCTAGGAGACCCTTGATTATCTTACCTGTAATTTTTGGTTCTCTAACTAGTTTCTACAAAATACAGTATGTCTTTGTTTTATGGAAAGAAAAAGCTAGCAGCTATTGTTCATCAAAAACAAGGACCCCAAGCTGTGACATGGCTGTAACTAGTGGAAGATTTACAAGCAAAGTGTACAGAAATTCCTTCTAGCAGCCAAATCCTCCTTCTGTGTGTGTCTGACATACACGTGGCAAGGAGTCACTGATGGTGCTGGTATTTGAGCAATATGAATGTGAGGACCCCTGGTCTGCAAGCTGCTGCAACGCTCCTTCTGAGAACTTTTGGTGGAAACACAGTATTTGTCATAGAATAATGATCTGCTGTCAGGAAATTCCTAGCATGAAAATGCGTTTCCTCTTGTCAAAATCAAAAGGTACTACTTTTTAAAACCAGCAGCAAGCTCTTCATTTTCCAGTAAAACACCTGCAGCCCTTTCTGAAGAATGGACCAAGTCCACAAGGGCTGCATATGTACTTTGGTCAATCACTTTGCTTATGTAGTTTTTCTTTTGATTTTTAATAGAACCAAGTGATATAAAGTGACATACCAAATGGAAGATATTTACAAAACAGTATAAAATAAGCTAGCTACTGTGGTATTGTGGATACATGTGACATTTTCTAAGGACATACTGTATTAGAGGTAGGTGAAAAAGGGGAGATGATTCTGTAACCTTCAAATATCCCAGGATCCTCCATTCACTAGTTTTTCTTCTTTTGCATTATTTTATTTTGTATTTTTGCAGACACAGAGGGCGTGTAACAACTTTAATGCTTAAGTTTTTTGACATATTAAGATCACCCTACTATTACTTAAAGCAGTGCACATCTTCATTTGGTCCAAATAGGCAGATTCTGCCCATAATTTGAGACTGTATGTAAGTACATTGAAGCCTTTGCTTCGCTGTCTGGACAGACCTAATACCAGTATGTCAACAATGGCTTACTCAAATCTCTTTTAAAGAAGATCACAACCACAGGTTAACACTTTTTCAACAAGCACTGTTTAAATGCTGACGGTCTCTGAGAGAGAAGACAGCCCTTAGCTAATTTCCCATGCCCGTCTTTGCACTGTACAGTCCTGGTGTGCCATCCTGTGTCACATGTTCGAGAACAAGAAAGCCATGGCCCCGTAACCCAGCGGGGTTGCATCAGCTGGGGAGTTACTTTGCTGCTGCTGCTGCTGCCACTGCCAGTGACAGAGTTAGTCATTTGCCCTTGCTTCTTTGGCACGAAGAAACTGTAGCGGACGTCCACTGGTTGAGTGGGATCAGTTGCAAGTATCTGCACAATAAGAACTTCTTTTGTGGCAGAGTGTCCCATTGCGTGCAAGAAATCACCTTTGTGACTCCAGCCACTGTAGTTCATGACAGTCCCATTGATGTCAATAATTGTTTCTGAAGTGGAGATCATATATTTGCCATTTACAAGGTACTCACCGTTTTTCTTTTTCAGGGCCAGGTAGGCAGTGAACCTGCTCTGGTCCTTAGTCTTGAACTGCCGAACTTTGATGTGGGTTGCCCCTTCTGGGATTTTCACTACATCTGTGTAGCCCTTGCTGAATGGAGAGAGAGAAAAAAACCCAAGAGTATTCAGTAGCTAGTGTGAAATAAGCCTCAAGTATTACTGCAAAGCCTAATGGAGTCACTGGCATGACACATCTTGCTTCGTTTTAGTTCAGGCCCTAAATCCATCTGGCTTGAGGCTCATCTAAGACTAATTTCACAAGGCTCCACTGTTTGTCTATTGTTGTGTTCTTATGTCTTTGAAGAAATTTCTACCACACTTATTTCAGATTGCTTAATCTTCAGCTTTAGTAAAGATTTTCTGTGAGTCAGATACAAGACAAATGAAAAATAACAGATAGCTTATACATATTTCAGTAAAGGGTGGGAGATATGAAATACGATGCATGCTTTGCCTGCCAAGGAAAGATAATGAGATATGCATTGGTTACAGCTGTTTCTTGCTGTCTTTGCTATCATGATGATTAAGGAAAGCACAAGCAGAGTAACAGCTGGGTAGAGATACCTTGGGAACATTTTAAAATAATCTTGACATTGAGAAAAAAATTGTATATTTTGAAATTCATAAAGCCAAAGATTAATTGTCAAGTGTCTAATAGGTGCACCTGAATGTTTAGTTTGTAACCAGCCAGAGTCCTCTCAGTTGCTACTTATGAAATATCATAATTCAGACTTAGAAAAGTATATTTAACTCTTCTTCTGAAAGTGACAAACATCCAAATCTGCAAGTGTGCTGGAACATATCACTATCTCAAATACATTATTTATTTTAACTTTACTGATACACACAAAAAAATACATAGCTGTATGCTACAAATCTGGCCTCACTAAAATTCATGGAGTCCTTTTAACATTTTTGCTGGGGACTAAATCACATCAAGTGTATCACACAGTCTTCTTCATGTAGAGATTCCAGACGTGTCAATATTTACAAATTGGAAAGGATTTGGTTTATATAATTACTAATTTGGATGCAACAGTTATTCTTTTTGGCAGAGGTGTCTTGGCATCCTTAGGTGAATAATCATTAGTTTACCAGAAAAAAGATGTGAAGTTTATTTTTAGAATAAATTCACTCTTAGAGGCATTTTTGACTGCGATAAATCAGTATGCCAAAATGTATAGAAACAAAAGGTCATTTCAGGAGTAAGATTTCACCTTCCGGTAGCTTTCAATATGCTTTGTAAGACATTGGAAGATATAAACAAACATCAAGTTTCTGTAGATTTGAAAAGATAATACACAAATGCAGTCATGGATACCGAGTAGAAATTGTCAACTGAAAGGTTCTAAAAGTAAAAGGCTAGAGCTGTCCTGTGAAAACTTGGAATCTATATAAATCATAATTTTAAAAAAATCCTCATTTTTCCATGTATCTTAAGAATTTAAGAGGGAGGGAAACAACAGTTCAGACAGAAGGCAGACTTACTTGACATTGATATTTCAGTACAAAGCTTAATGCTGCCCTCAATGTGATCGGGGAAAACCCTGCGGGTGGTTCCTTTTATTTTACTTGCATTAAGTTTTATTGTATTTAAAAGTTGAACTCTGACAGCAAAATGTCTTATGAATAACTGCTATAAATATTTTGACTTCAAAAAATATCCATCCAGAGATCGATACTATGCCAGTGGATGTGAAGAGATATAGCAAATGCCATGTTTAAACCCGTGTTTATTTCTGAACTCTCATCTAGTCAGCTAAGCTCCATATATACTCAGTAGTGTGAAAAGGTATTTTGAGGCTATAATCCCCCTCAGCTACTCAGGAAGACTTTCAGAGCTGTGTTCTTCTGCTGTCTGTTTCAGTCCACTAGCTATGCAAGGAATCTGTCCCTAAATCAGGTGGGATGTCCTCGTTGTTATACAAAGTTAGATGACATGAAGCACGTTCTCAGCAAGTACCTTGCTAGCACAGCATCATCTGCAAAAGGCAGCATTTCAGAGATACCCAGATTATTCTGACCTCAACAACTTCCTGATTCACCTCTCTCTTCCCTCTCGTCTCTCCTTGAGAAACCACAGCCACCTGACCAGTAAGATCAGCAAGTAGCACAAGATGCCATGCCCTATTCTAGGGCAAAATTCCTATTAATGAATGGGCTGCTCACCCGTGTCACTGGCACTTTGTTCAGAAATTAACTGGGCACAGAGTTTTGTCAGTTAATTTTTTGCCAGTTTTGGGGTAATGTTAAGAGGCCAGTTGTAAACATCTGTAAAGTGCAATAAAGCACATGCAATGTACATGTTCTCAGTCTTCATAGGAAATTAAGCTGCACTTAGAGTCAGAAAGCAAGCAAGCACATATCAGAGTTGCTCTTTGCACAAGATACATTTTCTAAAACTCAGGATAAATACCTCTTTTTGGTAAAGGTTCCCATGACTTTTGTGCAGCTGGAATTGTCTCCTCCACACACCCCACATTTGTCATACTGGAGCTTTGAACCGATGATGCCATCGCAGCCAGTTCGGACGCATTTTCCCCGGACACAGACTGAATTACTGTACGGTCGACATTCGGTACCATCAGTTACCTGGGCAAGCAAATGACTGCTAGTTAGAACTACTGTAGAAAAGATCTGCCCTTGTGAATCTGACTGGCAAAACCCAGTTACTTCTTTATATCACCCATACAGAAAAGAGTGCCAATGCTGACAGCCCGGACTGAGTTTCTCTTAACATTCTCAACGCACAAGCAGATGAAGTTTAGCAAAAGGCTGGAAGCAACAACAGGTAACTCCACTGTAAGACACTAAAATGACCCTGGCTTTAATTATGATCTCACAGCTTATTAATAATATCAGCAACATTACTTATAGATAGCCATGCATTTGAGCTATCTACTTCTAAATGTTACCTTCATTATATTTAGAGGCAGAAAACTGCAAAGCATGGAGACATATCAGTTCTAGTTGTATCTAATATAGCAAACTGACCACAAGTCACATCTATACTGGCTGGCTAATTATTCTGTATTAATTGTGTCTGTAAGAGTTACTCTGGATTCCCTTAACATAATCCAGGGTAAAACTTACTCCTGAACTCATAGCACATTTTCTCCAGAAAACCCCAGAAAGACAGATGACTCTCCACCCAGAAACCCCTTTATCCACCACTGAAAGCAAACTAGTGCAGAGCACACCAAGAGGCCCATCATATTCATGAATGGAAAATGTCTCCCAGTATGATGTCTTCCATTTTAACGTCACCAATTATGACGTCTCCCTTTATGATGTAGCCCATTATGACGTCTCCCTTATATGACCTCACCCATTATAATGTCTCCATTTATGACCACTCCTGCTATCATGTCTTCCATTATGACTTCTCAGAAGTGGAAAAAATTATCTCAGAGGCCAATTCCAGTGTAATGAATAACCAGTGGATCAAACCATTAATCACACAGTTAAATCATAGAATCATAAAATCATAGAATGGTTTGAATTGGAAGGGACTTTACAGATAAACTAGTTCCAACGCCCCTGCCATAGGCAGGGCCACTTCCCACTAAACCAGGTTGCTCAAAGTCCCATCTAACCTGGCCTTGAACACTTCCAGGTAGGGGGCATCCCAGCCGCCCTGTGCAACCTGTTCCCATGTCTCATCACCATAACACTTAAGAATTCTTCTTAGTGTCTAACCTTAATCTACCCTCTTCCAGTTTAAAACCACTTTCCCTTGTCCTATCACTACAAACCATTGTAAAATGTCCCTCCCCAGTTTTCCTTTAGGCCCCTTCAGGTACTGAAAGGTTGGTATAAAGTCTCCTTGGAGCTTTCTTTTCTCCAGGCTGAACAACCCCAACTCCCTCGGCCTGTCCTCACAGGAGAGGTGCTCCAGCCCTCTGACCATCTTCATGGCCCTCCTCTGGACTTGCTGCAACAGCTCCATGTCTTTCTTGTGTTGGGTGCGACAGAACTGGACACAGTACTCCCGGTAGGGTCTCACAAGAGTGGAGTAGAGGGAGAGAATGACGTCCTTTGACCTGATGGTCATGCTTGTTTTGATGCAGCCCAGGATACAGTTGGCTTTCAGAACTGCATGTGCACATTGATGGCTCACATTGAGCTTCTCATAAACCAATACTCCCAAGTTTTTTTTCACAAAGCTGTTCTCAATCCAGTCTCCCCCTAACCTGTAATTGTGCTTGGGATTGCCTCTACAATGGTATTTGAATTGTACGATTAACTTCTTTTCCCCTGTTGTAGGGTAAGATTTCTAAGACACAGGACATTTCTAAACTAGAGCATGAAATCATGATTGGGGATGTCATTACCTTTTGAGAAAATACCACGTAATAGCCAGTTCCCTTGGCTCGGCAGGTGAGCTTGCAAACATCTCCGGGAAGTACTCCAGCATACTTGGGGACCCATTCAACAAATGTCTTGACACCCTTTGAGTCAGACTGATAGCCGTTCCTTGCTTCACACTGCTCTTGTCGAAAAGATTTAGCTGTAGAGTTATTCATATCATTAGTGACTATTTCAGATTATGCTGCAAACATCATTATGCCCAACTATTATTCTAACCTCTTTCTTAAGTAATTTTGAAGATATGTCACTTTACCTCTTTACTTAGAACTGGCCTTCAAATCCTTCAACTGTTTTAGCTTGGAAATCTTCCTGTGACATAATAAGCATTAAAGGACTAAAATTTGCACTATGGTTCACTTTTCCAAAACTGACATTTATTTCCAGGCAAGGATCCCTTCTGCATGGCGTCATGGTGGGTTATGGGGGAGGAATGATGATATTGTACTAATGATGAGTTGCCTCAGTAAAATACATTTTGCAGAAACTACAACGGACCTTCGTTCCTTCCTTTCTCAGTGGGGGTTCAGTATTTACCGCCTACGGACCCAGAGGCTGGAGCACAAAGGCACTTTGGCACTCACCGTTGGCTGGGCAGGGCGCGACGTTGCAGGAGCGGTAGATGGCCCGTTTGCCGGTGCAGTACCGGCCGTTGTTCCTGGGAGCCGGGTTGTTGCAGTGACGATATGCGAACTGAACTCCTCCGCCGCAGGTACGGGAGCACTGGCCCCAAGGACCCCAGGACCCCCAGTTCCCGTGGCTTGAAGCCTGAAAAATATGGGACAGTGGGAGGTAAGGACAACAGCTGTGTGCGAATAAAGGTGCTCCATCTCAAATACACTGCTAATGTTTTCTAAGTTGCAGGCAACTCCTTGGTCATTTTAATCAGGGATAACAGGTCTTAGAAGGCTTCTTTCCTGCAGCAGAGTTAATTTCTTTTATCTGCACATCAACGACAATTTGGCACATTGCATGCAAGGGTGGCACTAGGCCTTGTTCTGAAAAAGCCACCCTCAGCCTGGTTCATGGGAGACAAACATGCACCAGAAGTAGTGTTCACAGTCTTGTGTGCTGCTCTAATTTTATTTTATTTTTTTGCTATTCCCACCAACAGGCTCCCTTAAACTAGATCCAGGGGATTCAGCTCCCAGGATATGTTCATAAGGATACTCTGTGATTAATTAAATGCAATTATTGTGATGTATAGGCATTGCTCTGAATTACTACCAAAAGAAGTTGTCAGATATAGTTTGCAACTCTACTAATTTCACTCCCTAGATGAGTCTTGCAACCACTCACAGACACTTCATGAAAGAGCAAATAATGGGTGTTAAAAGGGCTGTACCCTGATTAGAACGACTCACATAGTTTGCAAATATCTTCATAAAGCTCTACAAGTTCATTCCTCTCCTGTGGGTAAAGGAGAATAGGCAGAGCTACAATCTACCCAGTTAATTTAGAAGTATCTGAACTGTGCAGCTGACAGTTCTGAAGAGCCTGAAGACCCTTCAGTATAAAAGTTGAAAAAGCAGACTGTCACTGTAGGTACAAATTTTTCTGCTCCAGAAATCGCTTCATCAATCTTTGTCTCCACTAGAGTTAGGGCTCTGTGGCCTTTCATATAAGGACTATAAATTAAATGTGCAGATTTAATTTACCTTGCAGTTCACTGCCAGGAAGTCAGGAAGCTAAGAATATTGTCTTTGACAACTTTTCCGTATGTCCTGAGACCAGACTTATGGAATGGGCAAATCCTCTACTCTGAAAGGATGCTCTTAGTTTTTGAGGAATGAAGGCTTTCGTATTTCAAGAATTAAACAGGCTTCCAGAAACTCAGAAGCATTTTTCCTACATCTCTCACCAATAACACTCCAGTTACTTGTTAAAAAGTAAGGCAGCTTCCAAACTGAGTTCCATAAAGTCCCTTTCACTCCCACAAAAATCAGCACCTTTGAGGATCACGCCTTCTAGAATCCCCTAGGGTCACAGCTGGTAACTTACTGAGTAGTATTTCTTCTTGGTTTTGTCAACACATTTTCCCTGGAGGCAGATCCTCCCTTTTCCACATGGCGTTCCCTCCACAGCAGGAAGCTTCTTAGTCAGACACACCATCTGACCTTGGCGAACAACTGCACACCAGAGGCGGGAGCACACATCCATACCAGGACACACTGTGTACTCAGGTCCAAACGCCAGTTTGCACTGACGAATGGCATCATAGGTTTGTCCCGGGAGCTCCTCAGGGCCCAGGATCTGCTTTCTTGGTTGGTCCAGCAGACAGTTACCTAAAAGAGCAAACCAACCTATTATTACTCATTTCCTAGTTTTCTCTGCAGTGCTGCAAATCTGTCGTTCAAGTTAGGCAGACTGATGACAGTGAACCTCATTCAAAGGATGCTGATGTGAATGGAAAGGTTGTCTGAGGTGTCATCAGGTTTTGGACAAGGTCATACTATTACAACTGTGTTCTCACTGAGCAGTATACCAAGTGTTGAGCTGTCTGCTTCTGGCTTGAGGACTTCCCTTTGGCCTTTCATCCTGAATTCCTTTACTTGAACTGAATCTGAACACATTCCACTCTAGTTATCGATTTGTGATTTAAGGAGTGATCAAGACTCATTGCAAAGTACACAGAAGTAGTCATTTGAATTTTGAGACAGAATATCAGAAACAGTAAAGCTTCTAAAGGGATGCCAGAAAAATCACAAAAACCAGACTCGTAACTAATGAGCCACTTCAAAAAAAAAAAAGAAAAAAAAAAAGGAGAGATGAAAACCCCAAGAGTTAAAAGAAAAATAAGCTGCATATCAAAACTAATGGTGGCAGCAAATCTGGACTGGGCTTCCTTGTAAGGAATGATACTTGGCTGCTTCTGGAATCAGTTTGAAGAGAGCTATCCACTTTATACAAAAATACATAAATAATAGGAAAAAAATAGCATTAACATAAAGAATTCAATGTGTTATGAGATACATTGTAGAAATCAAGATTTGCCTGGCACTCTAAAAATAAGAACTCACATTTCAGTTCTAGAAGATCTACCAATAGTTTTTCTTCCTGTTGAAAAACTTACTTGTTGACATGCAGAAATATTTATTCAGTGTAACCTCTTTTACACTTCATGAAAGGGATATGTGGTCTGGGCAAGCTTCACTTATCCTTGGCCAAAATAACTTACCACAATTTACCTCACTTTGGAACCTACATCACTGTTCCTCAGTTAGTCTTTTTTCACCTATGACCTATCTATAAAATCCTCATTATTTACACAAAACTGGGACAGAATTTCAAGTGATGGCAGTGAATTTAAACAGATTAAATACCTCTTATCTCTCAATGGCTTGTGTCTTCCCTGTAGAACACAGACGTACTGCAATTGTTCTTTTCTTCCTCTTAAGACTAAGGCCAATGAGCCAAATCAGCCAAGAATTCTTTCTGCATCATCACTTACTACCAAAAAACAGTCTTGTTAAATTTGTTCCATTTGTCCTTTGCTGACCCTGATTTATCCTAGTCTTATCTTTAATACGGATTATGCTGACATTTTTAATGAAGACAAGGTGTGCCAATGCTAACTGATGAAACAGGTGCCACGAGAGAAAGATAATTAGAGGCACTCTAGTGTTCAAAACCTGTTGCAGTGTAAAATATTAAAGTCATGGTGGAGAGTGAGTATGCACAGATTTTTTTCTCTAGTTTCTAGAAAGGACGTAATTGGCAACAGCTGCTGGCAAAAACACACTTTGTAAAAGTAAAGAACAGCAGAAGTCCTACTTTATATACCTTGTGATAAAGGGAGAAAGCTAGCTAGTGTTAGGGAAGTGATGGGAAGGCACAAACATGTCAACATTTAGTGATATACATTGCTATTATTTATATACCACAATGTTTACCAAACTTCCAAATACAACCATTATTCAGTATTTTAAAACATCCTACCAAAACATATATTTCCCATGGCAGACACTGATGCCCATCACTGATATCTACCATGACTGTAAATACAAACTTACAGAAAAAAAGAAAAAAGGAAAAAAAAAAAAAAGTCATATCCTTGCATATACTTGAGTAGTTAACACCTGTTTGAGTATTCATCACATGTGAATAACAAACAGTTCTGAGAAGCTTACATGGCACTATTCTCATTTTTTGTCTGGAGTACCAAAGAACATCTGTAAGCCCTGGAATAAACCACTATTGTTGTCTGATGACAGTGTTAATTAAGCCATGTCATTATCTCTCCTTGATGTTACGTGCAATATATCTTGGGAAAAAAAGGCAGAATAAGATCTGTGCAGGAAGCAGATAACCAGGACATAAATTAATTAAAATAGAAATAGTCCTTGTTTTGAGGTGCACAGAGCACCAAGCACTCTGACTAAACACAATAAATCTCAAGCAATCATACCACAGGCTGGTGGTTGGCATGACAATAAAGGCAATTAGTACCTTAGAAGAGGGTTGGCTAAAAGCAGATGGAAATAAATGTCACTGTCTTCTGGACACTAACTCAGCCTTTTCTGCTGTCTGGGGTCATCTCATGAGCATAAAACAAATGGTGATATCATGACAATGATGTTTATAGTTCTCAGAGTGGGCCTCCGGAGACAGGAAATCAGCACCTTGATCCTCTCCAGACCTCCTGGTTGACCTTGGATGAAACATTTATATTGGGATTTATTTAGCTGACTCTAACTGTATGCAATGCTGGTGTCTGCAATTCAGTCAGCTGTCAGATGTTTCAGTACTCAGACAAACGAGTTTATAGTGTAATTCAGCACCACTAATGCAACTGATGAGATCAGTCAAAACATTGATGCCATCGATTAGATGCCCCTGCACTATGATAGGAACTTAAATACCTAGCTTAGGAGCACCTACCTATGTAGTAAATACCAGCATTTTCTAAGATGACTCTTCTCCCCAACATCGCTTTCCAAATTTAAAAAATAGGAACGTCAGTACTTGACAAAATGATGTTAAGGAATTAAGAGTCAAGACTGATATTTGCTGTTACAGCAGTATGGACTAAACATCTATATTTATATGGGAAATTTAGTTAAAGCTTTAGTAAGACATTGACTGTTCTTTTTTAGTAAAATGCTGTTCACAGATCCAAACTTCTGGACTTCAAGAATACTCCCTTATGGCTACCCATAAGGAGCAGCAGACTAAGCACTTTAGGTATGTCCTCACACAAACGCTGCTGTGCCCTGTTTGTCACAAAGCACGATTCATAAATTCATGCCTGTTAAGACCAAAAGCTCAGTGCAAACTGCTTATGCTACTTATCAGAGAATAGAAGCATTTCCTCTTGTTCAATGTTTCCCACATAAGCTTCCTGTAACTCTGCAAAATCTGGTCACAAACGTCCTAAAACAAAGCCTGGAGTGTGAATAGCTGTATTCCTCCATTGCACCTGCTATTTTCTGCTTTCCTCAACTACACTATGTCTGCACTACTGCTCAAAATTACACCTGGATGGTTAAGTTTTTTTTTCCTCTGCCTAGCAGCACCTGAGAAAGAGAGGATTTTCTCATTTCTGTGGGAAGATTACAGGGGAGCTCCTTCTTGAAAATAGAGGACAACACTGTACCTATAAACTAGTACATCTGCCCCAGCTAAGGAAAAGTCCAAATTCAAAAAGCAGACACATGCTTATTCTAAAGGAAACATGGAAATATGGCACATTTGCATTGTTTTATTATCAGCAAAAAGTTATCTGAAAGGCAATCTCATGCTCTACTAGGATCCTGTGGTTTCTGGTACACTCAGCATACATTACAAATTGGAATTATGGAGCTAGGAATTAATTCACTGGCAGGAGGAGGAAAATGAAACCAGAAGCTCCCTTCCTAAAATAGGGCATGTCCTTTCAGCACAATAATTTGAAGAAACTACAATTTAAATAATTGCCTTTCATTTTTACTTCACAGTGTTTGTGTTAATTCAAATATCTGATTTAAAATAAAGAACTGAAAAATTATAAAGTTCAACAGAAAAGCAAGACTGTTACTTAGAAAAGGTCTCTGAAGGCCTGATCTATCAAGTAAAGATTTCCTAAACATTGTATATTTTAAATCACACCAATAGCATCAGTAATAAAATAAATTCCCAGAGAACTATGGACCTCTATGAGGAGAGGTTAAAATTTTCTTTGTTATCACATAAATAACTCTTGTAGACTACATGCCTGAGCGATAACTACTCCTGAGTGTTAGAAAGGGCAGTGTACCCTAACCCATGCATCTACTAAGCCCTTTACATGCAACAAAGAATCCATGACTTTGTGAAGAGGGTCAGCAGCTGAGGACTGCCAAACTTAGTGCACTGGAAAACAGCACTAATGTTGAACAAGGAGACTATAATGCAACTCTGAAGGACCTGAAGCTCCTGCCTACTTTTACTGGAAAAAAACCCAAACACCTGGCAGAGTTTATTCTTAGACCTATAGGACTGATTGTTACAGCCCCTCCTGATTTCCACACTGAGACTGGGTCCAGTTCATGGATAAGGGTCCAAATTTCAAGTATCCTCCCAGGTGAAAACAAGCTGAAGGTGATGTGGGTGAGAGAAATGCTCTCTTTGATTGCTTTATTGTTGGAGAAAGTAGCTAGCAGGTTACAAAAAAAAGGGAAAAAATGAGAACAACCTTTCTACTTGCCTACAGGAGGAGCGGACCAGAACAGAAAATGCAGTTCAGAGTTCCCTGCACTCTCTAAGGGGTTATTCGTGGACGGTGAGGACGTCACTTTTTTTTTTAACCTCAGTGTACCCCAGTGCATTGTACTTCAGCAGCTAAACTGAAAAAGGAAAAGTTCTCTTCATATGTGGAAACTAACTTCGTAATACAAAGTCAATGCCAAGGCAGTATGTACTATAAAACAGGACAGTACAGATTAATGGATCTAATAAAATTGAGACAAAAAATGAAGTAATTCTCCAATAGAGGGAAACAGGATAAATTATTTCAGAGAGCACTTAAATTAGCTGACAAAATACTTAAAAGCAAAAAAAGCTTTATATTCAGCAGACATACCATACTTTCTATCCATAAGCATTACAGTTACCATAACAACTTGATCCATTCACTCAATTATGTCATTTTTATCTCAGCTTTTTGGAATTTGACTGGTTTGTTTAAGAATTGCCGTTGCTTTGGGAGCACAATGAAGACTTTAAAATTCATTAAGTATTCAAGACTATGCTTTTTTATTACTGCTTTTGGAAAATGAAAGTTTTGGAATTATTCTCTAAAGGGTAAATGACATAGTTAACAAATATTAGTTACATGACTTGGAAGGTAAACTCCTGGGGCAGAAGTAATCTTTTATCACATACAGCACAGAGGAGTCTTAATTCTTGCTTACAGCCCCTCTCCAGAAACATAATAAATACAATTACATTATAAATTTTATAAATATAATGGCATTATAAATATAATAGATTTCATTAATGGTGAAAAGAACAGATACAATCTGCTCATATGTGTATTCTAATGCTAAATAAATGATATCACCCATTTTCATTTCTGTGAGGAAAAAGCTATTTCCTTATGTCCTCTCTTTATAGTATCCTCTCAGCTCATACCTGTGGCATTTGGGAAGAGAGGACTAATTTAATACTTTTAAAAACAACCTCTCCATGTTTCAAATCAAATTATTGCCAACACACACACTCCGTCAGCTGTTTCTTTTCCTTGTATTTGAACCATGCAAAGGGAGGAGGAGACGCCGTCAGCCTTTCAGACCTTTGCCTTGTTTTGCAAGCAACTCCAAAATAGTCCCAAAGATAAGCAAGGAATGAACAAACTGGTAGAAAATGTTCTTATTGCAAAAAGAGATCACAGTAAAAACTAACATGGAGCTAAGACAAGGTGTGATAATACATACCATGACCATCATCGAAAAATTCTGTTATAGTTGCTGAAGTACATTTGGACCAGGGTTTTGAAGCATCAATGCTAGTCAGAATGGAGGACATCAACCGCTTATCTTCCATGGAGCCAAAGCTCTCCTCACAAAATTTGGAGTCGTCATGGGAAAGCCCAAGCAAGTGCCCTACAGAAATGAAACAAATCAATAAAATGTTATGACTACCCATAACAGGGTTTACCAGCTAGAACTCACAGTCAAGGGAAAATGAATTGTATAATTCATTCTCAAACTTTGAACAGCAGCCACTTGAAACGTGGTATCTCTACTTGAAGACAAAAAACCTGTGACAGTTTACACCCTTACATATAGCAAGGAAGTAATGCCATCGGCTGATGTGTCATCGAACTGTGCCTACTGAAACCTGATAAAAACTAAAGGGAACTCTACTCATTTTTATTAGTAAAAAATTTATTTCTTACTGTTTTTTAAACCATCTTCAGCACGAAAGACTAATACTCTGTAAAGATGCTTTGCAACTGCCTAGGAAGTTCTTTCTAAAGAATGACATCTTTCTAAATTGACAAAAGTGCTAGCATTTTACAAGCTAACTGTATGTAAATTCCTAAAATACACTCCTTGCTGAAGGATCAAAAAATATGAATAATGTTTTCAAAGTTTCTGCTATGTAGAGAGTCTTGTTTTGTGGATGCCAAGAGGAAAGACATGGAGGCAGCACTCACTGCTGAGCTGTCTGACCAGGAGTCTGTGTTAAGGCTGCATGATATCAGAAATAAGGGTTTCTGCCTTGTGAAGAAGTCTAGGTATCATCTGGCAGCCTTACTCTCTGTGTTGCTGAGGATGGAGCTACAGAAAAAGCGACAAGAGGAACTTGGTCTGTCACTTCAAGTTGTACCTGTGATGACTGAGAACAACCAATCTGTCTTCTGCAGTTATTCAGTCCCCACTGAAGGGGAGATGGAAAGGAGAACAGAGAAGGCATTTCTTTCTTTCTTCCCCACATTTACCAACATCATGCACTACAGCTACTGTTTGAATAATAGGTTGTGTAGTATTACAAATGTTAGTAAGAATTTATTCAAGGAAATGGGGTTAACACTGATGAGAGAACTTCTTCCCTGTTACTATTGCTGCTAATTGTTACTGCAATGCTTTATCAGATGTACATTGCTGCAAAAACACAGTGAGTCAGACTTTCATACAGAAGGCATGTCTAATTACTGATGTGTTTTATATACAAGATTTGGTTGTTTTTTTTTTTGTTTTTTTTTTTTTTTCTGCCAGGTTAAACCACCTTCCTTTGGTAATACTTATTATCTATGGGGCAGATAATGCTAATTTTATTCTGCACTGAGACACCTGAATAACAGGAGGTACAGTCAAGTTTTAATCTGATATAGCACTATATAAATACCTACTCTGAAAAGATGACAACATCTTTGTTTTGTTTAAGCCAAATGTTGGTGTTGAGAAAAAAAAATTACCTACTAAGATTATGATTTCAAACAGACACATTTCTCTGACAGAGTAACCAAATAATCAGTGCATCACTTCTAGCCTATGGAACAAATTCTGTGGAAGTGTTTCAGGCTAAGCATTTAATGAATCACCAGCTACTGTGCCAGTGAGGACTCCCTCTGACCCTGCCAAAGTCTTAGACACCAGATAGGGGAGTCTTCAGGAAACATAAAAATGGTGTTATTTTTGGCTTCCACTCTATCCAATGTTATCACTATGCTTGTATTTGTGCTAATGCACGGAGTGGCACCAGGTCACACCTCCTGTCTGAGAACTATGAGCAGAATTGACAGGTTAATGAACCTCAACACATGCCTAGTAGCAATATGACTAGCAACATTTTCTGCTGATGTTAAATAACTCCTTGTAGCATGTTTCACCAGTGTTCTGCTAACTTAAGCAAACATTTACTAGAGAGGGCTATAGCCCTATCCTCTAGCTTTTGTTGACATACACTTGAACATACGTTGTGGCTCCCCATTTAAATAAGAACCACCCACACACTGCTTTGCAGAGCTGTTCAGGAGTTTCAGACAGTTTCCTGTACTTTACTTGAATCTGTGCACTTGAATATGCATACATTACCTATCAATTATACAGAAATACTTGCAAAAAATTACCTCAGCAAACAAGAAAACACCATACTGGTTGACTTAAGTCTCACTCTAGCAACCTCTCTAAGGCAACTTGTCTGCTTAAAGGTTGCAGGAAGAATGCTTTTGTATTTAACATCCCAAGACTTCTCATAGTTATAAAACTGCAAGAAATTAATTCACTGCAGCATGTTTGAGAAATAAGGTAATGCAGTTCTGTCAGTGGAGAAGGAGTTTAATTTCTGAGGCATTAAACAGCTCTGGGTGAATAACAAAAGCTGGAGGTTTGTTCAGAAAGTTTGGCTGAATAACATCACATGGCACACAATGCGTGTTCACTGTAGGATATGAATAATAGTTGGGTGCAAACCAGCAATTTGAGAACTTAAGTTGTTTTTTTTTTTTGAAAGCTCAACATTTTATAGCACTATTCAGAACTATCCAAAAACTCTGTGATGTAAAGGATTCCATCTTGTCAAGCAGAATGCAAATTTCTTAACCTCCACAACCTCTGATACCGCTCTGCAACACTCTACCCATTTAAGATACAACATCACTCTCTACAGGAATCCCTTCCATAACCACATTTCACTCATTGTAACTTTGTTCATCTTATGTGGCAGACATCGCACATGAGCACAGAACAAAAGATGTAACACAGTGCTGATATGTACAGTTTCTGTTAACACTGTTAACACTGTTTCTGAATGTGCAACTTGGACATCTCTGGTTTACTCTGCTCCCTATGACTAAAAGACTTTTCACACAGTGCTTGTGTGTGTAAGTTCCTTGTACTAGCTTCATCAGACCTGGCTTCAGAAAAACCTTTCATCTTTTCTTTATTTTCTTAAGTATTTCTGTTTTTCAGCCCCCACTTCTCCTGCAGTACAATTTGTAAGCAACCTCCATGTAGACTATCTACTGTCAGAGAAATGTGGTTGCACCACATCAAACTAGGAAATTCTACAGCTGGGCAATGCAAACTCCCCTGGAGCAGGCCAGGGAGTTTACAGTGCTTTAGCTTGCTCCTGGCTTCCCTACCTAAAGATGGTATCATTTATTTCCCTCTCTACTCTCAAACATGTGCTGACTCTGCAGAGGACGTAGCTGCTGAGTTGTGGTCTGAAGTTGTCGTTCTGCCTATCTCCTCCTCCATATGCACAAAAAATTATCCTTCAGATATGAGACAGCTTGCAGCCAAATTCCAAGTTCTTCACTTTTAGCAGAGAAGCTGCAAATTTTTCCATAAAATGATTGCAAATTAGTCTCTCAGAAATGTCCGGACAGTTTCTGTGGAGTAGTTCAGTGTAAATAAATAAAATTAAATGCTTCTCAGGCAACTACTCAGCACAGAACATTTCATCCCAAATACTTTGGCAAAAGCACAGAAAACTGAAACAGGGTCATCTTCTGGAAAGTGTCAAGCTACTGGCTTTACCTTTGATTAGAGTGCATCATAACTTCTATACTTTACAATGATAAATGGGGTCAACTGAGGACACACCTCATTAACGGTGTCTACTTTGTCATATTAAATCAAGCCATTGTTCTCATGCACAACAAGAACTAGTCACTTACTTGGCATACTTAAGCTTTCTGAGAAGAAGCTTTTCAAAGTATTTGGGAGACTCTCACTTTAAAAAAAATAATTTTAAAAAGTAGAAAAAATATGACAAGGAAGGAAGCAGTTAGGTAGTGAATAATTTAAAAAAAACACAATTTCCACTGTCAGTATTTAAGTTTCTAAATTAGCTGTCAGTGATATTAGTGATGGTAATATCTGTTCACAGTATTAAATATATTAATTCTATCTCTCCATACTGATTTGCCAGTTAGTTTTCCATGTATGATTACAAACAATGCAAATGCAACTTTCAAAGAATTTTATGAAGCTAAAATTCTTAATCCTTATCACAACCTAAATTTCTCTCCATCCTAACTTTTTGTTTTAAGGCATCCTGATCAAACTTAAAACAGATGAAAATATATGACAAACTTCCAATGACTTTTAAAACTGTTTTTGCTTTCTATTAGAAGTAATCAAAATTGAAAGTATCACAGTGATTCATAATCTTGAAATACTGCCTAGAGAAATGAGAACAACAAAGTATTTCTACACCTGCGCCCTTCATCCTTTTCTCTCCAAGAACTAAGGAAGATACACTTCGCTTCCTATTTGAGAAGTCTCTCTCTCACCTCTTGCATCCATGAACATGCTGGTAGTACCACACACAGGACATTAGGGTGGTTTCTAGCATTTACTGGTAAGGTGCTTCCTTTTGTAAGATGCAACATGAAAAAATGGCAGGTGATCCCTACATAATGCCAGAGAAAGCTTTGGGCAAAAGCAAAGACTTAATTAACACAAATCTTAAAATTAAGGCTTTAAAAAACTATGCCAATTTTAGCACCACAATGTTTTGAACTGCTATGAACTTCAAACCAGGCTATTGAAAAAAGAGAGAGAAAAAAAGGCTCCCAGCAGCTGTGTCAAATGATGACTGATTAAGAATGGGTTAGTAGATCATCTGATGTTTTCTACTTAATGAAGCATCTTACTGGTGTTGACAGTTCCTACTGAGTGAAAATGACATAATATAATTTTACCAGCAGGATGGTGTTTAGTTAAGTTATGCTGTAGGAATGCACAAAATGGTAAAAGAAACAGATGGTGAGGAGGCAGGGTTTACCCTCGTCAAGTGAAAGGAGCTAGCCTTCTTCTAAAGTGGCTCCTTCCCAAATGCCAAAAAGACCAACCAGCTAAATTGACCAACAGCCCTTCCTCGCTGTGTTCCTTCTCTTCTTGAGGTGAGACAAAGTGTGACTACATCAGTAAACTGTTGAAAGCAATATGAAAGCAACCTGCAGATGGAATGTATGTATATTCAGTAACATTGTCTGCAAGGGACTCTTGGCACAGCTCAGTCTGTGTAGACCTTGAAGCAAGAAATTAAAAAGTCATCAGCAGTCATCAGCCCCTGTATCCCAGTTCACCTGTGCTGCCTGGATTCCTGGTAGTGCAATTTGCACTGCACCAGCTCTCCTATCCCAACA